TATATATATATATATATATATATATATATATATATATATATATATATATATATATATATATATATCTTGGTTGCGTGAATGATATATGAGTATTGGTATGTGAATATGTTTCATCTTTTGCTAATACAATTTCTTAGTTTGTTGTATGCAGTTGTCAAATCAGTATTTCACTCTTACCTATTTGTTTTGTCATATATATATATATATATATATATATGTATATATATATGTATATATAAAAGACTAAATCGAGCAATTTACAAAACTCCTAACCTAAGTCACCAAAAATAAAAAAATAAACGTACTTATTAAAAATAATGATGACAACCCGTAAACCAATCAAATGGCTGCATTGAGATTTTCTCAAACCACCGTAACTAAGTTGGGTGTTTTAAATGCCATGGACCGACAAACCGTGGACGTGGAGTACACCACTGCCGCTGCTTGCATCGACTTCAGATTCAGCTCACGAATAAAGGCCCAACTTCAAACGCTTTAGCCCAGTGCTGATTTCATCCAGATTCGTTTGCAGACGGATTTGGTTATTTCTCTTCGATGGCCCAACTAGTGATGGCCAAAAATCGGTCGCGGGCCGGACCGGTCCTAATCAGGCCTTACCTTCTTCGTAACCGACGGTAACCGGTCCAACCATAACCGGTCCCGGTCGAGAATGTGATAACCAGTCAAACCGACTCATAACCGGTTATGAGGCTATCGGTCTCGGTCCCAACCGGTCTCATCCATAAAAAAAGTATATTTTTTATTTTGTTTTAAATTTTAAATGATATATAGTTTTGCTATGTTATTAAATTTATCGTACGGATCACTCAAATACACTTTAAAATTACGTTCTATTATAATTAAAATCATATTGTTTTACAAAAAAAATTATAAAAATTATTTGAAAATACATTTATTTATCAATCTTCATCGGTATCTCATGTCGGATTGATTTGAAAAGTTCCGGTCTCTTGAATTCTTCTAATAGCCTATTGGTCATCAAGGTCATCAATGTCGAGTTCCTCATCATCGTCATATTATGAGTAAGTGTCGTCGGTATCGGTAGTTGCTGGCTTGGCCATCACTAGGCCTGACACCCTACTCACAGCCAATAATGATAATTATAATAAATAAAAATCATAATAGTTGAAAATTTCGAAAATTATAAATGATAATAATTAAAAAGAAAAAATAATAAATTTATTTTATATTTATACTATATTATAAAGTATTTGACAAAAACTCTTAAAAACCATTTTTTTTATACATGAAGTACTGCATATTGATGCATATTACTTAAAATTCAAGATTACAAGTAAATTATGCACAAATACAACTTATTAAAGCTTCATGTTTGAATTCGTATAACTAACTGCGGATATACATAATCAAATAGAGTATAAACATCTCATTTTAAAATATAAAAAATCTAAATATAATTAGAATAATTATCGAGTTTTAATAAAATAATTATCTATTATTTTTATAAGAAAATTATATTATTAAACCAAATATAAATTACTTTGTTATTGAACTTAAATTAAACTATTATTAAAAAAAAATTGAATTAAAAGTTACATAAAAATGATGAATTTTAAATAGTTAATTTGATACTAATATCGATATATTTTTGTCAAATTTTTATGATGTATTTACATATTTTATTCAAAAATAAAAACATCATCGTTTTTTTCAAAATCACATAAAACCATATTATAATATCGATTGAGATAAATAATAAAATAAAATATTAAAATTAAGATTTATCTTGTTGCATTGTAACTCTTTTAATTTTCATAAATATGCTTGATCGAATCTGTTGGTCGTTGATGATGTTTTAAATTGAGAGTTTAACAAATTCATATAATAATTCGAAATATTGAAATCTAAAAAAAATAGATGCACGGAGATAACACAAATAAAATAAAATAATTTGGATAAAGTCGGTAATTTTAATAAATAATGGATAAATTCATTTAATTTTATTTAATAAAAATATTAGTTAAATTAACTTTATCTATATTATCTTATAAAATATTTGATTATAACTCTTAAAAACTCTAAAAACACAACTTTAGTTACAACCTACTATACTATCCCTAAACCCCCGCCATCCCTATTCAGCGCATCCCTAAACCCAATCCCATTTTTATCCCCCCAAGCCCCCAACCCAATTCGATTTCATCTAAACGATTTTTCGCCCACACCCAATTCGATTTCATCTAAAAGATTTCATCATTTGTGATTTAGGGTTGCTCAGCTAAACCTTACAAGACCAGGTTTTGTAGAGTTTTTATCATTAAAATATCTACTACTGCAACTTATTCTGTAAAGAATGATCTCATCAAATGGAGTTCATTTTGCCTGAACTACAGATAGTTCTTATTCAGGAGAAAATGGGACAAAGACAYTGAGGCAGTTGCAAGCAGAAGAGGACGATGAAGAAAGGTTTCAAGCTGACCTCTTAAAAGCTGTATGCCAAAGCCTTGGTATTTATTCCTTACCTCTAATAGGTGAAGTTATGATTATGATGTTATTTGAATCATTATGATGTGATTTGTCCGTAGCATTTGCAATCATCATAACAGGGTGCCAATAAACCCTAAACCTAAACGATATCATCGCCAACAGAGTTTGAATAATACAGATTTGATTTAATCCCTAAATATTTTGAGATGATATCGACTAGAGATGCATATATATTTGACATGTTCTTCAATCCATCAGTGTCAATCCAGAATCTAGAGGAGGTATTAGTTCGTAATCGCAGCGACCGGAAAAGATTGCAGTTTACAGGTTCATATTCGTTTTCTATTCCTGTTTAATTTAATTTCTGTAGTTTCTAAATGAACACAACAGATTGCATTTGGATGGATTTCCTATATTTTCTTCTTCTCGGCCCCCACTAATTGCATAGCGTCTGTAGAAAATGTATAGTGCAACCCACAGACAGGATGACTTGGTGCTGTCCCTAGAAACTTTTTCTGAACTTTGTATGCCTCGGCTGCCATTGGGTCGTTTTAGCTAGCTCATATCGGATGTAAATGCCCAGATAAATAGTGGATGAAGTTGTTATATAGTCATCATAGATTACCAGGCAAAACTGGGACTGTCATGTGATACTTAATAGAATTCCATGAGGATTTTAACTAACTTGGTCCTGCCACCTTTGCCTTTTAACTTCATAAAATAAAAAGTAAGGGTTATTTCAGCCACACCATAAAGAAGGTGTCTTCCGCTTGTCTATGCATGAAATCAGTTTCTTGGGTATGTAACAGGAAAGACACTTATTTTATGTCATTGCCTATGTTAAACTTTGCTCACTTGTTTCATGATCTCAGGCCTGGAATGATCATAAGCACTTTGCTTTCTTCGTCTCTAATTTCTTTGATTCAAGATCATTCAAGAAAGCATAATGTGTGTTACTGAGAAAGAATGTATAAACTATGAAGGACCAAGACAAATACCACTAACACCCATAAGCTATAATCTTCAATGCTTACAGAATCTAATCTGTCCTGGTGCAACTCTTATTCCTGATCAATTGGCTACCAGGTATTCACTCAAATGAATAAGAAAAAGATGGAATATAGAATCTGCATAGTAACTAGGAACGATGCTTATCTACTCTACCTGTCGTTGCTTTGCCTATTTCAATAATTTCAGAACTTTTTGTAGGATGTTTTGCTAGGGTAAAGTTTCTATTTTAGGATACTATACTCAGCTGAATTTGATAGTTGGAAATGACAAATTATTGTATAGTAACTATTATGCTATATCTCTTGAGTCGATACTTTTTTAAGGTGTTGATATAATCATCATAGGCATGTATAGTAGGATATGGGATTAATTCATTCAGTAGCAATGTCCTTGAGCAAATTTCTGTTTGGTCAACATACTATAAAAATCGTCATAAAAACCATCCAACATAGAAGATTGTGTTGTTTTAGAACAATCTTTGTGGAGCAAATTTCTATTTGGTCACCATGTGGGTCTCATCTCGTATTCAAAGTTTTCCTTTAACTATGTACATACCTAAACTTTAATTAACTTTTGAGAGGCTATTATATATACTGCTAATTCCCCATGTCTCCCTCTCTCCCTCTTTTTCTTAATGTGTGCTTTACAAGCACATGATTAGTGCTATTGCTTTTGATGGTTCATGCAGTGAATGCTTCAGAGTTTGGYCTTGATGTTGAAGACTATATCTTATTGGTGAGTGGCTGAAGTTCTGTGTTTTTTACTGGGCAAACATGTGGCAACAAACAAACTCACCATCATTGTTTTGCCTATAATCAACTCTTACCAATTATGCACTCTCTCCGAAAAGGGGAAGAAATTGGTCAGTTATTGTTGCCATAGATTTGTTCTTTTTCATTTTATTATCTATTGGATTGATTTCAAAGTGTAGGGATCATGGAAGTTTTTCCTTTGCTACATACGTACTTTAGTTTGCTGTATAACTTGTATATGTTGCAATTTTACTAATCTACTTTCTTTTGCAGGAATTTGCTTTATGTCCAATGAGTTGGTAAGAATTTCACATTTTATCCCTGTAGTGTTGCTACTTCATTTTCAATATAGTAGCCTCTTATCTGAATAGTAGAATTCCAAATGCAGATGGTTTTGTGATATGTTTATAAGCATTTTTACCAATCTGCATGTGGCCTTATGACCTGATGCATGTGACATCATTTCTGAAGCTTCCACGAGACCGAGTGAATTGTTTGTTTTTCTTTTTTGTTTTCACTAAGCCCTGTGTGAATTAGATATTTATCTGGAATAAGGGTGAAATGAACAACTGTTAGGGACCGTTTACCAAACGCTTATCCGGGTAAGCGCTTACCAAGTTACATTATCTTACCGGATGAATATTGTAAAGACCAAGAATCTTACCCGGTAAGGGAGGGCGACGATTCTTACCACGGTAAGCACTTACCGGGTAAATTGTTACATGCGATGTCGTTTTGGCGGACTAAAATCTTACTCGGTAAATAAATAGTAGTGTTAAAWTTTACCGKTAAGCACTTAYTGGGTAAGTATTTGGTAAACGGCCCCTTAGTCTATTTTTTGTGCTGAATGAACAATTTGAATCGTAGAAAACCATTTTAATCTTCTTTAATAAAAAACCACTGTTTGACAAATATATTTTATATGATAAAAAACTTAACAATCTATAAGTTATTTAAATAGAGAGTATATAATCTAAGTCAACTAGCTAAGTCCAAGATTGAATGGCCCTACTCTGTGTGTGTATGCATAGATATTATATTAGCCTTGCAGGTTTAAGAAACAGAAGCATAATGCTTGTTGCATGTTGTGGTTTTGAATCTCCATATCAAATTGGTTTTATTTATTTATTGTGAATGGCTCTACAGGGCTGAATCTCATCTATAGGTAGAACAGAATTAATTGTTCACGCGATTCATACGATTGTTCCACACTCAATTCAAGGTAATTAATTGATCATCTGTTGATAGTGTGATTTATTTAAGGCTTTGCTTCCCTTCTCTTGATAGTGTGATTTATTTAAAGAATTTGACCTCATTTGAAACGATTCCCTTCTTCGTTTGAACCATATACACATGTGAATCGACAGTCAAGTTCTGTCCATTCCCCTCTTGATAATGTGATTTAATTACCAAGTTCTGTCTCATGTAGCTTAAGTTGCCCGACAAATTTGAGCGTAAGCTAAACCAGTGAGCTGTACTTATTTGCCAAAATAGGTACAATTTTTATGTTTATCAAAGACCAACATAGGAGTTCCTACAATCTTTCTTTTTCTTTGCATTGCAT